TCCCGGACGCAGCCACTGTTCTCTTTTCCGTGCAGAAAGCCGCGCGGCCGCTGCACGGTCCTACAGAGCGCTCCGGAGCATCCGGAGGCTGTCGTCCTCAGGGCCGCTGCGTGCGGGCCTCTTACCTGCTCCGCTCGCCCAGGGCCCGATGCCAGCCCGCCCTGCGCAGGGAAGCAAAGCGCTGGTGGCCAGACACAAGTGACGACTGCACCCAAGGCTGCGTCGCTCTGCAGCCCCAGGTCACGTGAGGGCCCCGCGTCACCGCCAAGCTCGCTCCCCAGCTCAGGAGGCCAGTGCGACAGGAGGCCCCGCCTCCACCTCCCCGCCGCAAGCGAGCACCTCAGGCCCCACCCTCTACTCATCCAGATCCTCGCCAATCTGAAGACCCACAAGTGGCATCACCGTCTGGAGGTTGGACTTCTCCCTTCCCTGTTACCAGGGAGAGTCTGCACCATCCTCCATCTCTGCTGCCCCCGCCCCCCCTTATAGCCAGGTCTTGGCTTTAGCCTTCTTTGAGATTCCTCTCCACCTTAGCCAATTTTTTTCCCCAAGACCTCTCCCAACAGACACCTTGAAGTGGAGAATAGTGTAGATTGTACATACATCTCTTTACTTCCTTAAAAAAAAAAAAAACACACACACACAACATGCTTGAGAAAATTGAAAATTATAAGGGTCACTCCTTTTTGGAATGTCAGGGATAGATCCTCTCTCTAGCCTCATAATTGCTGGACAAGCTCTCTTCTGAGCTGTATTCCCAGACCACTCCAGCCCTGCCACCACACACACTTTTTAAACTTAAAAAAAAATGAGGACAGTGCATGTCTATGTTGGTGGAGCTACACTTGAATTTTCAATCCTCCTGGGTCAGCCTCCCTTGTAGCTAAGGTTACAGGCCTGCACCACCAAGGCTGGTGAATTTTTCAGCTTTGAAAGAAATGCTTCATTCTGCAGAACGAAAAAAAAAACTTGTTTATGTTAACCTGTTTGTATCACACAGAAAATACATTCTCTAGGTTTTGAATGGCTGTTTTGTATTAGTCTGTTTCATTTTTTTTTATTTTAAGAAGGAGGGGCTCTTGCTGAATACAGCTAATGCTTTAACATTGATCTGAAATAGTTCCTTCAGAGAGGTCATAATTTTATGATTTCTTGTGAAAGGGTCTCACTATGTAGTCCCAGTTGACCTGGAACTCACTCTATCAAACAGAATGGCCTCAAACTTGGGGTGATCTTTCCTGCCTCTGCCTCCTTCCCCTGCCTCCCATGTGCCTGTATTATATGAGATTTCTCTGAGTCCATAATCCTCAGGAAAAAGAGCCATTTAATTCCTTGCTTTCCTCTCCAAACCTTTCAAACTACTCTCTAAATATTTAATGAACTGAGAAATAGAAAATAATCTAGAAATTTACTCCCCATACCTCCTACTCTGGTGTGAATGTTTCAAAAATATTAGAAATAAGCAAAAGATGAACGAAGCAATTGTATTTATACCAGAACTCATCCTGAATACAACTGTTTCTTCCACCCTGAAATCACTGTTTTTGTTTTTTGGCTATTTGTTTGTTTTGAGACTAAGTCTCACTCTGTGGCCCAGACAGGCTCGCC